ACCCTCCCCCTCTCATGCTCTCTCTCTCAAATAAATAAATAAAATCTTTAAAAAAAAAAAAAAGATTGGTGTCCTTACTTTACTTCAAGCTGGGCACTGTCCTCCTCTTATTTTCCAGGTAAGGAAACTGGAGTCTGGATTTGACCCCATGTCTGACCAGAGTCCACTGAGCACAGTGACCCGGGAAACACACAGTGTCACAAGAATAAAACTGATCTAGAAAATGGGCATACGGAGCCTCTTCATACACGTTGGGTGTGTTTGGGAGCATTTATTCATTCTATTAAGCCCACACCCCAGAGGCCAATGAGCTGCAGTCCCCTTTCCTAGAGGAGCTCACAGTCTGGCAGATAGTGAAAGATTGTTCTTTCCCTTCACCCCGAGTGTCCCCACAGTGCTAGCTCAGAGAGAATGACCGAGGAACAGGCAGTTTATCCTTTCTGTGGTTTGGGGGCTTTGTCTCCAGAATTGTGTTCCCGGCAGGAAGAGATAAAATAAGCTGAATAGGCACACTGACCCTTTGATAGCTCTGTTCTTTGACTATTTGCTCAATTTGCTCAATTAGATGTTCCAGCTTAAAGCTAACTTCATTAACTTTGTCCTTCGCTTGAGCAATGGCTGCATCAAGGTTATGTCGTCCAACTCGAACCTCTAAGTGGATCCGCTGTACAAACAGGAAAAAGGAATAAGCCTTCTTAAAACCGCTCCACTCTGCATTTCCCTTGTTGTGTCCCCCAACTCCTCTCCTGCATCTCTCCAGCCCCCCTTCAAGAGCAGGCCCCACTTTGTTCTCCCTCTCTCACTGCCTGTCTACCCCCTGCCCTACTCAGCAGTCTTCCTATGTAATAATCATTAGTTGGTGACCCACGGTCCTGAGATAGTACTTAGACCCTCCTGAACATCAAATCTACTACTAGGTAAATGCTTTTGGCACTGAAAGAATTTGATTACTTTTAGGAAAATTTTCTTTACATGTGACTAAATTTCTGATCCTAAAGTACAGATTTTCTTCATCTGCTCTCAGCCCGTTTAGAAAATAACCGATCACCATCTGCCATATAAGAGTTTTATTTATTGGAATTCCATTGTTAATTTACCCTCCAGTCTTTGCTTGTTTTCAGGCCTGAGTAATCACAGTTCTTTTAACCTTCCCTCATGGTTCTTGTTTTTCAAGGCCTTTAATCAACGCTGTAGCTCTCCTTTGAACCCCTTCCAAGCTCTCCAGCTCCCTCTTTGGTTGCTGCACTGAGATCTGGGCACAGGACTTTAATAAGTTTCTAGCCAGTCCGGGTGTAATGGTTCTGCATGCCAACGTCATGCCTGAATAGTGCTGATGCTCTGTTCATCAACAAGGACATGGGAGGCATCCTGATGCTCT